CATTCAATCATCTAACACGGAAACAAATTAATCAATATATCAACGTTTATTTCTTACATTTTTAAGTATTATTCCCCACCGCCTCAGTTTCGTGCTTTCCAGTCTCGGTTAGCATGAATGCTAAATTTATTGAGCATACGAATTTTACGACATTATGCATCGTCATTGCGTTTGGTAACCGCATAAAAGAGCACTTAATCAAATAGAAAAGATATTTTCTCTCTCTGAGTGGTAAAGAAGTAGCGAGAGATGCAAACACCGGCGAAATTGTCTTTTGATTGTGTCCCGTTGAGTAAAATTATTTTGCTTTGTGGTGTCCCACTCAGGCCTCCATTAACTAAAGACGATCACCATGCCTCAGGTCAGCCTCGCTCCACTCCTCGTTGTTAAGCCATTTAGGTTTTGTAGAGACATGCAGACAAAATGTAAGCCTACTCTTACTTTTACATATTTTATCAGCAATTGTAAAGCCCAATTTTTATTGCTCTTTTGCATTATTGTCTATTATGCAATTCCAATTAGCTTGCGTTAGTTACAATGCATTAAATCGAATAGTTGTATTTATTGATAGTTTAGAAATATTTACTCAATTTAGCAAATACGTATATTGCGTGCATAATTTGTATTCATAATGTAATTGAGATGCTACAGTAACAATATGTGTCACACCAAAATCCTTATTCCATTTTGATAATGAATCCAAACTGGTGATGAGTATAGAACCTTTAGTCGACTTGTGCAGGCATCTTTATTTTGAAAAACTAGATTAGACTGCTTTTGATCTTAGATTGTATTATTTATATTAAATTTCCATTAGGCCGTTATTATTCATTAGGTCTACTTTCTGATTGTATATTTAATGACAACTCTTTATGCTAACAAATAAAGACAGACATCCCAAGATCATGTCCAACCCTCATTTTTAAGGGGAAAACTAACCTCCTTGATGCCGATTGGTGTGTTTTTCCAACGCATACACACACACACACACACACAAACTGAGACATACAAATCCTTCCCACGAGGGGCTGAGATTGCAGAATAGACTGAAAAAGAGGAGCATAAGCGATTTATGACCAAAGCTGCCTTAAACCATCACTTTTGCACTCAAAGTTGCCAATTTCCAAAGTTGTTGACAAAAGGATGAGCCAGCCTGGCAACATGTAAAGTAGAAAAATGAGCTACTCGTCTGAGGGGTTGGGCCGATTCTGGCCGATAACTGGGGACCTACAAAGCAGTCCACAAACGAGGATGAGGGCAAGCGCGAGGATGGCCTTGACTCTGGCCTCGTCGGTGACTTCGCGGAGGAGACGGCTTCCCGGATGCTCCGGCTCCCCAACGCCCAGAAGTCTCGGCCTCTCAAGGGACCTGTTGAAGAGGCGGTCGTGCTCGCTGGCGTTCAGCCGGCGACCCGTCAACATGACGTCCCAAGATCGCGGCCTCCACGAGTTGCCAAGTCGACGACAACGGCGACGACGGAGTTGGTTAGTCCTCAGATGTGTGGAGAGTGGGTGTGATTGCCCACAGCCTCGAGAATCGGCTCATAACACGCTTTCCGGCCAGTCGTGGCGATATCTGCTTGCTCCGGATGCTTCTTCTTATGTCCCCGACGCTTGGGATGGCAGCTGTTGCTGGCACACACGCATACAAGCACACACGAATGCGCACGAATGTGCGCACAGCCCAGACTGGCTGGTTGCCGAGAGACGCAGAGACAAAGAGCGACGCTGTACAACGGCACAGACGGCATACGCGCACGGTTTCTCACAATTCCATAGGATTACTGCTGTTGAATGATGTAGAAATGTACACTCAACTAAAAAATAAATACATAAAGTTGTATTAGTACTTTGGGAAATTCTGTATGCCTATTGATTCTGTCGATGAATGCGCGAGATTTCAAGTGGCCTTGCTGGCTGGGATAAACCGGCTGGCTCGGCCAATTGGAGAGCGATTCGACATACCGGCCGGTTCCCGCACCAACCGGGGGGAGGCGGAGGGCGGGGGGCGGAGACAATGAGGGTCTTGGGAATGACTCGAATGGGGAG